TGAAGAAAAGACAAAAATAAAAGGAAGTACAAAGTACAAGGTACAAATTGAGAAGACAACAAAAAGGAGATTTCATCTCCATCACAAAAGGTCATCAAAAAGTCTTCTCYACATCATTTCACCAGCTGTTAATAATCCAAAACGAGAGCTTCTTCARCTCAGACCTCTATCCAAGACACGRCTTAATCAATAAGCACTTTTCCAAAAAGCCATAGTGCAGCCGRGCGATGCTGTTGRAATGCTGCAGCATCACAGTGCAGTGAACTGAGTCAAAKAAATGTTATCTACTCCAAGTTGTTGTAAAAACAGATTCATCATCATAATTAACTCCAAACATAATAAATGGAAAATAAAGAAGTAAAAATGACTCAAGGTTGGGATAAACTATGAAAATCTACCTAATAAACATAAGAAATAGGTACTTTAAGAATGTAATAAACCATGCTTATCAGTACCCTTCTAATATTAACAATGATGCCATCGAAATCTTGTCCCTCTTATTTTTTTTTGTCTAATGGTTGTTAAAGTGTTTTTCAGTTTTTCATTTATTCGTGGCTTTCCCCTAAATCTCCCTATATGTAGTATAGATATGTAAATATAAATCTATTAAAACCACATGAATGCTATATTTATTTTGATACTAAAGTGGGACAGGATTGATGGATTGACAATAGATAATGACAAACCCGTTATCCATTATGTTTCAACCCGTTGGATAAGGGTATGAGTAAAGAACATTTTATCTACTTATTCGTTACTTGCTACCTAACATTATAAGCTGCCTGACATTTTAGTGGTATGGTGTGGATAAATGGTTATTCAATACTCAATTATGATATATAGTGGGATGTTCAAATAAGAAGGTTAAATATTGTACGAAGTGGGGAAACATTAGTTTTTTTTTAATGAGTTATTTATTTATTTATGTCACGTAAAGAAAATGACATGTCATTCAATCACCTCATTTAAGTCATATAAGCAAAAAATAAGAGATTAAGAAGTTTAAAATGTAATAGATTATTCATTGCTATAATGAGTAGATTTTTTAAACTATGATGTCTGAATAAAAAATAATTTGAATGTAAATTGTTGTATTAAAAAAAATGAAATTGTAATGCTATAACACGAAAACGAGTAAAGCTCAATTTTGGTCCATAAGGTTTGTTTTTTAATGAATATTATCCCTAAACTTCATAAATATGGATTTGGTCCGTCACGTTTGTCAAAATCGAACATATTTCGTCTTTTATTTAACGGCCATTAACTTTTTCCGTTAAGTCTAGATTAATGATGAATTTCCTCTTTAAATAAATATAAAACATATGTTCTTTTTTGTTTTTTTTTTTTTACTTTTTTAATAGAAAATTAGAAAATGTAAGTATAAGTTTGTATATGCCCACGACACATGTCACACATGGATATTGCTAAAAAAATATGTAAACATATAGGGTTGCACATAAAAATACGTTTTCTTCTATCTGAAAGAAACCTAGAAAAGTCATGTTTGACAATTAAATAATTATTCTTGAAGAATGATTTATGTGTTAAAATATAATCATGATAATTACAGGGTGTTTAAATGTGATTATAAAGATCTATCGAGATAGATCTAAGTGCTTAATTGGATTAAGCAGAGTACATACATTGCCAAGATCTTGAAACGTTTCAAGATGGAGGGTTTCAAGAGAGGAAACTTGCCAATGGTACATGACATACAACTGAACAAGACTCAGTGTTCTAATACTAAAGAGGACATGAATCGTGTGGAGGGTGTTCTCTACGCCTCGACCATTGGTTCAATCATGACGGGTATGCCCTAAGCATGACGAGTAGATTTCAGTCAAACTCATGTGATGCTCACTGGGTACCAGTGAAGCATATCCTAAAGTATCCGAGAAGAACTAAGAATATGTTATTAATGCACGGCAATCAGGAAAGAGATATGTGTATCCAAGGGTATGTAGATGCTAGTTTCCGAACCGGCCGAGATGACCTTAAATTGTAATCAGGATACATGTTTGTGTTAATAGTGGTGCTATGAACTGGAAGAGCTACAAGCACAATGGCATATTCGATTACAGAATTGGTAAACCCTCTCTAAAAACCTATGAGTCGGAGCAAATATAATGCTCATTCTAGTGCAATAGGCTTGAAGTTTTTGTAAAACTTTGATCTAATCTATAATTTTAGCAAAACATTACTTGAATAATAAAACAATTATGTTTCTATTTGTTTTAGCATATTGAATAGGGGTATGTACATTAAACAGTTTCTTGTTCATTAGTAACATGATTAAGTATCTTTAAATATATAAGATGATCATACTATTTAAAGACTGTCCTTGATCAGTTATTACCACAGACTCGTAATAAATAAAGATTATTCTGAAGTCAGTTCATAGTCCAAGTTGGAAATGCATTGGGTGCAACCAGAGTCACATGCACTTTTCCGAGGGATAAGTTTTGGACAAGGCCCATAGTCAGGATCACCTCATAGATTAGCATCATAAGGTGAGTCCTGAAATGATGAACACTCTTACCCTCAGATCTGAGATGTTTATTGGAACCTAATGCATAAGAAGTGTTATACTTTGATATAGTGTAACATTACCCTTAATCGGGTTATCATAAGGGCTATATTGGGTATAACATGAATTGTATACAATTTGTGTACATGCAATATCCCATGTCTAAACACATGTCTAAATCAAATATGTTGGGATCAAGAAACATAATCTTTGAACTATAAAGGATGAGATAGATCTATGCCTTAAGTTCAAAACAAAATATCATAAAGCAAAAGGACAAGGGATGATACTATCATATGATTAAAACCAAAACCAAAACTATCCCATTGTCGATCAAACCAAAACTAGCAAATCCAAATCCAAATCCAAATTGAAGTAGATTCCAATTAAAACCAAAACCAACGAACCTAGATTCAAATCAAAGCAAATCCGAAATCAAACCTAATCCCACTCCCAAAACCAGTGACCATGACCAATAGAAAATGCAACAAACTTAACCTGTGAGCATCTTGATCAAAAGCAACACCATCAACCACCCTTTAATCTGAAAAAAGAGGAACCATGTAAAATATAATATGTTTTTATTACCTTTTTAACAGAAAAATTAGAAAATGGATAGAAAGTTTAAAATAACCATCATTTACCTAGATTTAACGAAAAAAATTAACGACCGTTAGATAGAGAGATGAAATTTGTTGGATTTTGACAAACATGAGGGGCAAAAATGCTAGTTTATGAATCTTAAGGACGATATCGGTCAAAAAATACAAAGATAAAGGATCAAAATTAAACTTTACTAATCTATAAAATAGATTAATATTTACCCCACGTTAACCACGATCGACAATTCTTAGGCCCACATCTGAAAAGAATGAAAGAGGAGAATACGGGGAGATCCGCAACATAGACGCTATCTGACAACGGCAGCTTCCGCCATGGACGGCGTTGCAGCGGCGGCGGCTCTTAGGTCAGTCCTTCACCGCGTAAAGCAAGCAGCCGAAAGATCCTCTCGTGCTTCTGATCGGATCAGAGTCGTCGCCGTAAGTAAAACTAAGCCCGTATCACTCCTCCGCGAAGTATACGATGCCGGTCACCGTTCTTTTGGTGAGAACTACGTCCAGGAAATCATCGAGAAAGCACCTCAGGTTATCATCTTCTTTCGATTTACATTTTATTTAGCGATTACGATTAGGGTTTTGATTATCGGAACAGTAATATGTTTAATAGGAAGTGATTAACAATACTAAAACAAAGAGTCTGAAYAAACTTGCAGCTTCCTGAAGATATTGGTGGCATTTTATTGGGAATTTACAGAGCAATAAAGTGAAACCTCTATTGAGTAAGTGCTCAATGCCTCAGATTAGGGTTGCAACTTAGGGCTGTTTACTAAACTTATCCGGTAAGCGTATACCAGGTCACTTACCTTACGACAAGAACAATCTTATCCGGTAAGAGCAATGTGAAAGACGTTTTTATCCGGTAAGTGAAGGAGATAGACTCTTATTCGATAAACACTTAATAGGAAAATTGTTATATATGATTTCGTTTTGATAGACTAGAATTTTACCCGGTAAGATAAGTGACAGTGTTTACATTGTTACTAGTAAGCTCTAATTTGGTAAGTATTAGATAAACGTTCCAATGAGTGTACCAAATCTTGCAGCATACCCATTTTTGGATCGGATCGGATCATGTTGTTTTAATATTTTGTTATTATATTTAATTTGTACGTGGGGTACCAAATCTTGTCATGGTGGAGACTGTAGATGATGACAAGGTAATACAATTTTTTGTTTATAATTTTGTGTAGAACTCCAACTAAATGTGGCAAGCATGTTAAACTCATTATCTTTTTGCTGCATATTTGTTACACAAGTGACTTGATAAGCGCTTACCTAGATAAATGTTTGGTAAACGACAATTTAGTGTCTACTCGTAAGCAACTTGTGTGGCCATTTACTAGATCTTGGATAATAATCTTTATCTCAAACCAATGGAAGCAAAGTCGTTGGACTTTTCTTACTTCTTTTTTGGCCACTTGTAATACAATAGGGATCTTACCGTTGTTTAACCCACTTGTTTGGTAATTGCTAAATGATTTGGTGTAGAATGATTAAGTGACTCTTATGATATAGTGCAAAATGAAATATAATTGTTTGATAATTGTGTACAATGAAATTAGGGCTTTTAATGGTCAAGGGAGATCCAAGATACAAAATCATTCAGAGAGTTTTAGAACCATTTACCTCTTAACGATTCAGATGTTGCCTTTTAATGGAACTATTAAGAGGTAAACAAACAACCCCAAGTTTTAGTTGGATTTGTGTGTTCCTCTCTAGATTTTAAAATAAAATAAAATATTTGGCCAGAACAATTACTATAATTAAAAGGCCAAATATTGGGACAAATTTTATATGGCAAGATTAAAATTAAAATGATTAACTGAGTTTCTATTTAGGCCCTCTTAGGGGCTGTTTACGTGTAGCTTAATTAAGCTTATTGGTCTATTAGGCTTATTCGCACAACTCATTTGAGTTGTTTATTTACGGCTTTTTCACACCGAACATGACTTGATCGTACAGATAGAAATAGTGTGTTGTCTCCATTCAGACACAAAAATGACACCCTTACCCCTTATTTAAAGCATCGCCTTCTGCCCAAATAAGACACCCTATCGTCAACCTTTTTATGATTTTTTTGTTTTGATGTTCAAATAATTAATA